TTGTTGTAAAGTGTGTGTGGGGGGGAGATCTTTTTTTTTAATTAACTAAAAACTATGACTTATGTAATTGTTTAAATTGTGGAAAAATTAATTTAGTATAGAAATAAAGCATAAAGTTAAAGTGAGTGTTTTTTACTCCTTGTACTTGTTCCAGTATTCAGAAATGACAGGAAAACTGCTAAAACTAGTCCTTTCTTGTTGTTTATATAACAACCAATAAAATTGTTTTATGTTAGTTTTGTTAAGAGCTTGAAAGAGTCTCTGTGCAGGGACTAAAGAGCTGCATGTGGCTCCAGAGTCGCAGGTTGCAGACCCCTGATCTAGATGATGATGCTGATGATCAATAGGTCTGATTATATTTTTGTGATTTGTTGAACTGATACTCCTCTTGAAGAAAACCTTTTGCTTTATCAAACCATGTTTTCCTGAACTCTGAGCTTGTTTTTGCTCCGCAGGTACACCCATTCGGTGCTGCAACGGGAGGAGGGGCTTCAGAGAGAGGCGGGGCCTCAGTGTGTTTACTCCGCCCATGCTGTAGAGAAGGCCAATGAGCTTGCAAATGTAGAAAAGTGCATTTATGAACACAGAGACCTGCTGAAACAGATCTGCTCCTACCATCGCCGTCCACGCCGGGATCCCCAGGCCGTCACCTGCCAGAAGTGTATGACCGAGTGCTTAAACGAGTGTGAGATGCTGTTAGACAAATATTGTAAGCTTGCCGAACCGATTCGTTTCTTTGAAAAGGGGTGTAAAGGAGAAGAAACGGGACAGGTTAGATTAGATGACAATGGAGATGAAGAAGGTTTAGATGAGGAAGAGGATGAGGCTGTAAAACGTAAGCCGTCCTACACGCCACAGCTGATCAAAGCTAAGTCTGCCAAATGTTTCGACAAGCGCCTAAAGAACCTCCGAGAGCTGTGTGAGGAGACTTTCTACGAAGGCTCGGTGGAGCTTCTAAAAGAGGCAGAGAGGAGTTTTCGGGGAGATTTGTGCTACTTGTACACCCGTTGCCTAGACAAGGCATTGCGCAAGAAATTGAAAGTTGTCAACTTCTTGTTTGAGGAGGACCTCAGTGACAGCACTGAGGATGAAGCAGGAACACTAAGACCATTCTGTGCTGTGAATCATTCCATAGACAACCATGTGCACTGCAATCCCCCTTATATTGTGCTTGGACCAGAGTCTCTTGAGCTTGCTCTGTCAAGACCTCTACATTCATCCGATCCGATCCCTGTGTCTGTGACCAGCGCTGCTCAGGGGAGGGAGCTTGGACTTAGGGAGAACCATCTGGAATCCTCCTCCTCAGATCAGACTTTGGAGACTCAGGAGAGCTCAGAGGAGACCAAAGGAAGCTTCAGCAGTGATAAGAGCGGCACTGATCAAGCAGAGAAGCAAGAGAGTCTGGCCAGTATGATTTCAGAAGGACCCGATCCTGATTCTGAACTGACCCCTGAACCTGACCCCAACACTGATTTGGGGAGGGAAAGTAGCAGTGAAGACGTCGAGACCACTGCAGGGGAGGATGAGGGTGAAGGACAGGACCAGACCCCCGTGTCTTTGCTGGACGTGGTGTCTGACCTGGATGAGCATGACACAGTGAACGAGTCCAAGTCGCTGGTTCCAATAGACACAGCATGCTGCATCGCTCAAGAACGTTTCCTTTTCGAGGCGCCTGCGTCTGACGCCGTTCCCTGCCTACGCCACAGCTCTCATTCGAAGCCCTTCCAAATCCTGGTGGTCAACCAGGAGCCCCAGGCCCTTCTTCCAATCCAAGATGAATACACTGTGGGTTCCTCGTACTCTGAAAGTCCTGCAGCTGGCCTGGAGCTTCCTGTGGGCCTACTCGGAGATGCAATTTCTCGTAACTCCGTGGAGGAGGGGTCGGACTGCACCATGAGCGCTTCCACGGGGTCTGACAGGGCTGCCTCACCGCTCAGTTACGGGGGGTCGGTGACCCTCCGTCAGAGGAAAAAGGCAGCTCAAAGTGCTTTGAAGTTTGTACGCCAGTATCCCTTTGCTTTGAAAGCGTTGTGGTGTCTTCTGAGCGGCAGAACCCTGGTGGTGCTCGGGTCGGATGAGGGTAGAGTCGGCCGGCTGGTCGCTGCGCTGGCGCTCTTCCTACCCAGTCCAGGGAAGTGTAGGGAGAGGATTCAGGCCTGGCTGACATGTCCCTTCACGCTCACTGACTTGCAAAGGTGGAAACTCATTGGATTGCAAAGGTAAGATGAAGTTGCATTTGTAGTTTACACAGTTTACACATTTACATGCAATGAAGGCAAAGATGACCTTTTATTTGAAGATTCAGTAAAGGATAAAAGTGGAGAATGACAGATTTATTGGCCTATATATATATATATATATATATAATAACCAGCTTTTTAAATATGTGCTATGCTTGTTAATGCTGTATTTAGCCAATTACAAAGCAGAAAATAATCCAGCATCTTCTACAGACCGTTTACTCCAGCTTTCTGTTTAGTTTTGTCAGATATAAAGTAACAATTTGTCCAAACATTTTTAAAACATCAGCCTATACACGTGTATATATCTATATATGTTAGATAGTTTCGAGTATTTATGTGAAAGGAACGTAAGAACTGTGTTGCTCAATGTTTATTTTTTTCTCTGTTCATATTTGGATAATTTGGTTTTTAATCAGTAATATTTTATTGTAAACTTTTAAAGTGGTCCTGGTTCAATATTTCAGGTTTTTCAAAGTAGTTTTTTTAACAATAGCTATGTTTTCACCCATTTGACCTACCTTTTGGTTGTTCAAGGTTCTGTCATTCACATCACATGTGGTACATGAGATGGAATGAAATTGTGTACTCAAGGTCCAAGTTGCACCCCAAAATTGCAAAAATATAAAGTATAAAAAGAAACAGTACATAAGGATCTAAGATATACACTAAACAATAATAATATAATACAGGGTATTAAACAGCAGCCTGAACATGAGTCTGTTGTGAGCAGATGGGTATGAATACAGCAGCTTAAAGGCAAGAAATCGGCAGCATGGATAATTAATCAGCAGCACAGATAAAATGTCAAATCTCCAATTAAAGTGGGTTACAGTGATTATCCTAGTTAGAGATTCATGCGTCTAACAGCCTTAGGGTAGAAGCTGTTCCTCAGTCTAGTGGTTCTACACTTAATGCTCCTCAACCTCCTTCCTGAGGGGAATGGGGCAAAAAGTGTGTGTGCTGGGTGAGTGGGGCCCTTCATGATGTAGGTGGCCCTCTTCCTGCATCTAGAGGTGTAGATGTCTGATGGTGGTTAGGCTGACTCCAACAGTCTTCTGTGCAGCCTTCACCACTCTCTGCAAAGCTTTTCTTTCTGCAGCTGTGCAGCCTCCATGTCACACCTTGATGCTGGAGCACAGGATGCTCTCCACTGCACACCTGTAGAAGGAGGTGAGGACTGAGCTTCCCAGACCAGCTCGTCTCAGCCGCCTGAGGAAGTAGAGTCTCTGATGAGCTTTCTTGATCAGGCTGGTGGTGCTGTTGCTCCAGCTGAGGTTGTCATTCAGGTGCACACCCAAATACTTGTAGCTGGAGACCACTTCCACCACAGACTGATGTTATTTGTTAAACCACCTAACTCAAATCATTCCTACATCAAAAGCTTCAAAGTCAAAGGATGAACCAGTTTTGTTGACACATAAAGGACAATTTAGCAAATAATTAATTTTAAATAGAATTGATTTGTTACAAAAATGTAATTTGTTCTAACTTACAAAAATACCAAAGATGGCTCTGTTTGACACAGTTTTGGCATCAATGACGATTCCTAAAAAGCTATTACAGGTAGATGAAAACTTCACATTTGTTGGATCAGGGGTTGCCTAAGAGGTTTTCAAAGCCTCTCAGCTGTCAGTCTGGTTTAATGTCCAAGACATACTTAAATTTCTGCCATTATTCACACATCTATATTTCAGCATTAGTGGTTAACACAGCATTTGTTGTTAACCAACACTAGTGAGAGATTACATTTAATGCACATCCATTTTGTTTTTTAAGGTTTTTCTGAAACGTTTCTTCTGACTATAAAATCTGTCAGCTATTTGTTATTTGTAGCAGTTTATACGTTGTCACACACAGATGGCATTTGTCATACTTTATTATTTTGTGTTAACAGAAATATTGTATGACTCTTTAACAAATTCAAGCATCAGAAGTATTAATTTATTATATAATGAAAAATAACTTTTTTTCTTCACTTCGTTGTCATTTAAAGCACAAACAGTGATTAAGGTTGAGGTTTTTCTGAGATTGTGTGCTGTTCATTATGAATAAGGTGTCAGGCTGCTAAAGTATCAAGAGGAGTCAGTTTAACTCACAGTAAATTGCTAAATTAAAACTTTACAGAACTGAATGAATTGTCTTGTTTATTGTCCCCCGACGTGGCGCGAAGAGGGGAACTGGAAATATCATCAGTCTGTTTGTTTGTCTTTTGAGTTTGATAACTTGAAAAATAAATGATGTACTGACTTCCACTTTGGTGTGCAGCTGTATCTCGGCATAAGAAAGGTCATTATCAAAAACTGAGTTGCCATTTCAAAATCCAAGATGGCTACCACCATATGGTGGTAATATGGTAATATTATGGTAATATGTATAAATGTAAACTGACCACCCCATCATTTGAGGAAATGTGCTTTCTAGGTTTTAAATTGCTTAAAAGTATATATTCCTCAAATGATCGGG